CGCGCTTGCGTACTGCTGCTTATTTGACGGGAATAGCTAATTTTCGCCAATTATCCCGAACTTAGGCCTCTAAGGTTGCCACAATACTTGTGGGGTTGAGGTCACAGCCGTCTTCTTGTAGTCTGTGGTCATTCTTGGCGAACATATTCTAAATGAATGATGAAAAATGGTTCATGGGTTCTTGGTTACATGAACTGATTCCAGTTTATCGGCAAATATCCGTTACAGGTATAATAAAACAGAGACGTTGACACCGTCAGACATGGAGCGGTTTGATTTCCTCATGATCGGCACGTATTCTGGAGATTTGAAACAGATTGTGCAGACAAACTACTCGGCTCATCATCGTGTGATGTTTGCCGTACCAGGCTTTTCATCGCTTCAACATTAAGTACGCGATTTTAATAGCTTCGATTTTTTTAGTGAATCACAACCTTCGTTGCAGGAAAACGTCATCTTTCCCGTACTACTATCCCGAAATGGTATTCAAAGAGAAAGTGGCTGTGTTGAGGAAGAAATAGTTCGGAATCGGTGAATTCAGTGCAAAACTGAATTCGTATTTCACGACAACTGTACATGCCATGTTCAACATTACATTGCTGCATATCTTACCTCTGTGAGCGATTCTGGTTACTGGTGGAGTCCGTTAGTCAACTTAAAGCGAGAGATTACGATAAAGTGTGTGCAAGCATGGAAGTACATGCACCAGTGGAAGCAGTAGTCAGGGGCCCAAGGAAGCGAGATGTGGCCTTTTCGTGGCCAAAGGCGCGCTAGTTCAGCGCCCTGGGCTGCCAATCCTCCCTGAGCTCCGCCTCCGCCGCCTGTGCTCCGCCCATCAGTGTGTTGCTAGCAGCATCATTGTTCTTATCATTTGGATGAGGTATTCCACTTCGAGTGCGTATCCTATAACTTTCCCATGGAATGCGTCAATCAAAGCATGATCTTTGCTGGAATGATAGCGGCTATCGGTTTAACATGTGCAAACGACCTCTTAATTGGTTGCTAGCTCGTCCATTATCGGAGGTCAACGGGCAAAGAAAGTGTGTAATATACTGTGTTACCAGTATACAGAATTCTTGAAGGGACGACGATAGTCTCAAAATTATTTGAAAAAAATTGAGTTGATGATGAGTGGAAGGGTGTGTCGTCAGTGCGTTAAAGCGAGGGATTACGATAAAATTGAGTTGGGTTCATAGTGGAAGTGGGAATGCTGAATAATGCCCCAGTGGCGAAAAAAGCAAAGAAATCCGTCAAGAAGGCGCAAAATGGGACCCCTTTCTTTGCCCGTTGACCTCCGATAATGGACGAGCTAGCAACCAACTCTGACTATGAGGTCGTTTGCACATGTTTGAAGGAAGTGGTCATGGAAACTTCCAATGGAGACGATAGGGAAAGTGACATAGTGGATCGGGTAGCGTCCTACCAGGGTGAATATTGCTTGAGGATTCCTCAACGGCACGTCGAGGATTTTCGCCTGATCCTTACGTTCTCGCGCGCGGATATTCACTCTCGCCACCCGCGAGCCGTCTGTGCTCTCCGCGCGTACATTCACTATCGGCTCTACTCCTCGCACAGCAGAGAGCGATGGTCGAGGAATTCCTCGACGTTTAAAGCAACAGTTCAGGGAGGGTCCGAAAATTTCAATGCCACTACTACTGAGGGATACACGAGCCCTAGTGAAGAACATATGCAGTGGAAATAATAAACGAACTTACCTCAGAAACTCAAAAACAGGGTGGAAAGTCCCTCAAACATGGGTGTTCTTGGGGATTTCCCCAATCCCGCCCCCTTGCCGGCCGTCATTGGACGCGTCGGCAATCGTGCTCGTTTTGGGACCACAGGGAAAATTGATTGAAAAATGGAGCGCGTTTACAGCGGGCACGTTCAGACAACTCGTCCAACGTGCGTCTTTATCCATTGCTGAGCGGCAGAGGGAGAGTACCTGTCTAAGACCCTCCCCGACGTTTTTTTCCAGTTTTTTCAAACATTAATCGTCTGGTTTTCATCTACAGCTTCATTATTGGTGGTTTTTCAAGGCGAAACCGTTCCTGAACTGTTGCTTTAAGGGCTGTTGTGATACAGA